AGAGGCGGTAGGGCCAAGCAGCAGCTAAATGTGTGAATGGACACATGGAGCAGTGGGTGCCCCCATAGCAAGCTGCTTGCTGTGGGGGCACCTGACAGGAGGGAGGGGCCAGGAGAGCCTGCAGGGGACCCGAGAAGAGGAGGATCCAGGCTGCTCTGTGCAAAACCACTGCACACAGCAGGTAAGCATAACATGTTGGTTAATTTTGGAAAATAACATTTAGAATCGCTTTAATATGAGGAAAGAAAAAACAGAGGGCGCACAGGCCTAGTGCATTACCATAAAAAATGTTTAATAAAAAAATAAAGTAGGTGTTGTACTCACAAACTACAATATAGTCAAGGCACGTCATAAAAGAACAGCTGGGTCAACACCGCGCTGAGTAACAGTCCGTAATAGGGAGTATAGACATCCAAAAGGCTGATGCGTTTCGAGGACTTGCCTCTTCCTCAGAGGATGGTCAGCGTGGATGGTGAGCTATAGAGGTTTATAAACCCTAAATGGATGATATTTATGGGATCATTAAGAGCATATGCTGCTGTCCATTCTCCATTTTATTCCATAGTAGTACTGGATACTGCGGTCTTGCCTGGGGGTATTTTTTTTTGTGAAGCAATGCATTGGAGCCAGGGTTAGGTCTATGGAGATGCAGCATAGCAGTATACTGGCAAGGAGAAATAATAGGTTTACAGGGCGGTAATATGGTACAGCAAAAAGAGGTGAGTTCAGTGGTAGCAATCTTGGGGTACAGCCAGGTACAATAACAGTGGCAGCAATACATTGCAGCAGGGGCTGTCTAGGGACAGCAAACTGGTGCAGCAGGGGCAGTTCAGCAGAATCACAGTCGCAGCAATACAGTAAAATAGCAAGGGAGGAAGTAAAGGTCCCAGCAGTCATTGGGCTAGAATCACTCATGGTTAATGGCAGTCCCAGCTTCTGTATCTTTAGATGCACAGATAGAGCCTTGCTGTGGTCTTTCAATCACCATGCAGAATGCCTGCTTAGCCTTCTCACAGATCCTTACGTGATATTATGGCTAGGTTCATACTGATGTGTTGCGAATCTGATGCAATTTCACAGTGCGATTTCTGAATCTGATGCAATTTCACAGTGTGATTTCTGAAAAGTGCAATTCTAATGCAAATGAATATGGTTTTTGGGGGATTTGGCATAGCCGGGAATAACATTTACACCAAACCGTTTTTGTGCAAGGGCTTTGATTTGGTTGCGTAGTCGGGACACCTTCTGAAGCCGAGGTATGGAAGGGTTGTCTATTAGTCGCCGTTTGGCTAAGGACAGTTGGCATAAAAGAGCTTTCCTGGCACAGGCAGAGGCCTTCTTTAAATGAGTGCCCATGGAGATAAAAAGGCCCTAAAGACAGCCCTGTGAGCCTCCCAGAGGGTTGAAGGTGAAGCTACGGAGCCAACATTGTATTGGAAATAGGTTTCCAGAACTTGGGAGAGTTCCTTCCGAAGGTGGTCAGAACGCAAGAAACTCTCATTGTGGCGCCAGTGATAGACCTTAGAGGATGAATTAGGAAGAAAGAGATTGAGAGACAGCGAGGCATGGTCTGACCAAATTATCGGTTAATTTCAGAGGAGACCAAAAAGGGAAGAAGAGGAGCGGTGACAAAAAAGTGGTCCAAGCGAGAAAATACTCAATGTGGAGTAGAGTAAAATGTGAATTGTTTATGTAGAGGATGCTTGACCCGCCAGGCGTCAAATAGATGATGCTCCCAGATTAGCCTATGGAAAGCCGTTGAGGAGTATAGCCTTTTTGAGGGGGTAGATGTAAAGAGGGCCTTCCTATCCTTGTGAGGGGACATAATCAAGTTAAAATCCCCCCCTACAATCATGTGTGAAGCAGAGAAAGAACATAATTTATCCAAAGTTTGAGAGAGAAACAGTAGCTGACCAGAATTAGGTGCATACAAATTCAAAAGCACGAATGCGACCTTCGTACATACATTCCAATAAAACATAACGACCAAGTGGGTCAAGCCGGGAGGAGGAGACCCGTAGGGAGCAGTTTTTCCGAATCAAAATAGCCACTCCGGCTTTTCCGGAGGGGTCAAAAGCCGAGTAGGATTGTGGAAAGTTCTTAGATGCAAAGCGAGAAGAACCATCCTGTTTAAAATGAGTTTCCTGGATAAATATGATGTCTGCTTCCAAGGATCTTAACCCCCTCAGAGCCATCCACCGTTTTTGAATGGAGTTAAGACCTTTGACATTATATGACAACAGCTTTAATGCCATCATGGCTCAGTAGTAGGCATATCAACTGTGTAACTTGAACATACAAGAAAATTATCATCGATGAGGCAAAACAGAAAACAACAGAGAAAGAGAAACAGATGATTATCAAGGCAACAGGCCTATTACATATAAGTATATCACTCAAAACAGGGGCCATAGGGATTACGGCTAGAAACAAAGAAATCATCACAGATATGCACATGGGATATAGGGGATATCCCGAGTTGTCAGAACCAAAGGCCCAACACTCCAACACGGCAGCTGACCCAATTTGACAGAAGCCGACCTCAGAAAAAACACAAAACTGTTGTAGTCAAGACATAAGGCACACATGGGAGCAAAAGTACCCAATTAATGGGGTGGAAAGACCGAACATGGAAAAGAGTCAGGTGACAGGGCCCACCGATCCAGGAATTCGTGGGCATTGGGGAGTGCGAGGACATCACTTTCTTCCAGTCTTAGCAGGTGTCCAGATCTTGTGTGGAGTGGTGGATGACCTTCGATGAGGTAGGAGATGGCGGAAGGGCCTCATCCGGTAGGGGAGGGAGTCCCAGTTGTTTAAATAAGGAGTCTTCTTCATGTAGGTCACGGAGTATGACTTGGGCGTTGTCCTTGGAGACAACCAGCTTAAAGGGGAATCCCCAACGATATGGGATATGGTGTCGCTGGAGGTGGGTAGTGACCGGTTTCAGGACCCGTCTTTTTGCCAAGGTGATAGGGGATAAATCGCTAAAAATTTGGAGCTTGTCTCCTTTAAATTTCAAAGAGGGCTTGTTTTGAGCAGAAGTGAGCAGGGCTTCTTTGCTGTCAAAGTAATGAACGTGGATGATCACATATCTAGGTCTGGTACCTTTGAGAGGCTTTGGGCCTAACGACCTGTGGCCCGATCCAAATGCCAATCAACATCTGGGACATTGGGGGAAGGGCCTCATCCGGTAGGGGAGGGAGTCCCAGTTGTTTAAATAGGGAGTCTGCTTCATGTAGGTCACGGAGTATGACTTGGGCGTTGTCCTTGGAGACAACCAGCTTAAAGGGGAATCCCCAACGATATAGGATATGGTGTCGCTGGAGGTGGGTAGTGACCGGTTTCAGGACCCGTCTTTTCACCAAGGTGATAGGGGATAAATCGCTAATAATTTGGAGCTTGTCTCCTTTAAATTCCAAAGAGGGCTTGTTTTGAGTAGAAGTGAGCAGGGCTTCTTTGCTGTCAAAGTAATGAAAGCGGATGACCACATCTCTAGGTCTGGTACCTTGGGGAGGCTTTGGGCATAACGAACTGTGGCCCAATCCAAATGCCAATCGACATCTGGGACCTTGGGGGCCAGAGTAATGAATAGGGACAGCAAGTGACGGTGAAGTTGAGAATCAGAGACCGTTTTGGATATGCCACGGAAACGGATATTCTGGCGATGTTCCCTGTTTTACAAATCTTCCTGCTGAATTTGTAACTGGGATACGGAATGTTTCAGACTCACATTATCCTCCTCCAGAACATGGTCATATTGTACCAATTTAGACTCAAGGTGGTCTGTACGGTCCCCTATCTGGGTAATCTCCCCCCTAAACTCCTGTGCCAATTTTGCGCTGCAATAGTACTGGTAATGTTATGTAAAAATACTTGCAGTTTACTTTCCAAGGAATCCACCATCAAGGGAGGGCCCACCGGTGAGGGATGTGAAGCTACAGGAGAGTCTGCATCCATCCTTTTCATCTCCACGGATCCTCTGGAGCTCTCGCTGGGGCCGCCGCCGCTACTTGAGGCCGGGGATGCAGGGCTAGTGAAGAAGCGGTCCAACGAAGGTGGCATGGCCAGCTTCCAGTGCCTGATCTTTTCCATGCGGAGTGCCTGAATATGCCCCGACTTAGGAAAGGGCACTCCCGGAGCTGAGAAGGCGGAGTACGAGGAATGGGAGTGCTTTAGATTCCGAGGATTGGCGGAGCTTCGTCTTCAGGCAGCCACCATCTTGGACCGCCGCACATGCACCCCTAAAGCCTTTATTAATGTTATTGATGTGTTCCCTAATTCAGGTGGAGAGCTTCCTAGTGGTTCTACCCTTTTTAACCCCTCACCTACAGGGCACTTCTACCCCCTTCCTGCCTACAGGGAACTTCTACCCCCTTCCTGCCTACAGGGCACTTATACCTCCTTCCTGTCCAGGCTAATTTCCAGCTTTCAGCGCTGTTGCACTTTGAATGACAATTGCGCGGTCATGCAACACTGTACCCATATGACATTTTTATCATTTTTTTGTGACAGATAGAGCTTTATTTTGGTGGTATTTAATCACCTCTGGGTTTTTTATTTTTTCTTAAACAAACCAAAAACCATTGAAAATTTTGAAAAAAACCCCGCTATTTTCTTAGTTTTTGTTATAAATTTTGTAAATAAGTGATTTTTCTCCTTCACTGATGTGCGCTAAGGAGGCTGCACTGATGGGCACTGATAGGCTGCACTGATGGACACTGATAGGTGGCACTGATGGGCACTGATGAGGAGGCACTGGTAGGTGGCACTGATGGGCATTGACAGGCATCATTGATGGGCACTGAAAGGCAGCACTCATGTATGGCACTGATAGGTGGCACTGACTGGCACTGATAGGCGGCACTGACTGGCACTGTTAGGTGGCACTGACTGGCTCTGTTAAGCGGCACTGATAGGCAGCACTGACAGGCACTGATAGACGGCACTGATGCACACTGATAGGCAGCACTGACTGGCACTGACAGGCGGCACTGACTGGCACTGATTGGCAGCACTGATAGGTGGCACTCACTAGCATTGATAGGTGGCACTGACTGGCACGGATGGGTGACACTGAAAGGCAGCTCTGATGGGCACTGATATGTGGCATTGATGTGGCACTGATGGGAACTGAAATGTGGCACTGATGGGCACTGGCAGGTGGCATGGATGAGCACTGAGAGCTGGCACTGATGGACACTGACAGGTGGCACTGCTGGGGCTACACAGATCATCAGGGCACACTGATCATCAGTGCCCTGATGATCTGTGTACATGTCCCCTCCGAGGAATGCCGATTACCGGCTCTCCTCTCCTCTGTCAGCATGACAGCTCGTGGGGAGAGAAATGCCGATAACCGACATTTCCCTGTTTACAGGTGATCAGCTGTGATTGGACACAGCTGATCACATGACCGAGCCGACATCTTTGGCTCTTTCCATGGATCGGTGACAGCGCACTGCCGATCGCCGTGCTGCACGCTCCGGGAGCCGCACATGCGCGGTTAGAATGGGAGGACGTCATATGATGTCCTCCCAGAACGAGAGAACCATCTTTCGTCCATCATATTACTATATGGAGGGCGGGAGGCGGATAATGTTATTGGTGTGTTCCCTAATTCAGGTGGACAGCTTCCTAGTGGTTCTACCCACATATTGGAGCCGATATGGACAGTCGATGACATAAGTCACATGTGTAGTGCAGTATGTAATGAATTTCTTTACGGTAGAGGTGAAATTCTGGATTCTTCTTGGTTGTTGATGACTTGTCGTACAAGGCAGGCACTTTTGGCGGTTATAACCCCTTTTAGTTCCCTAAACATTTTATTAGTCTTGGGAGGGTTTATAACATTATGTACTAACCGAGTTTTGGAGCCTTCTTGTAAATAAACATTGGCCAAAATATTACCAAAAAACCCTGACTATTATCATGGTTCAAAATAGGCCAGTGTTTCTTAATGATTTTCTCCAACACCTTGTATTGTCCTGTTACAAATGTCACATTAGAATTGCTACCATCTACAGTTGCAAGAAAAAGTATGTGAACCCCTTGGGATTACGTGGAGTTTTGCATGAATTTGGCATAAAATGTGCTCTGAACGTCACAACAATAGAAGAACACAGTCTGCTGAACATAATACTACACAAACATTAGATGTTGCCATGGTTTAATTGCACATAACATGTAAACATTCACAGTGCAGGGAGGAAAAAGTATGTGAGGCGCTAGCTTAATGACTTCTCCCAGAGCTAATTGGAGCCAGGAGTGAGCCAACCTTGACTCCAATCAGTGTGATGATATTGGATATGTTGCTGACAGCTGTCCTGCCCTTAAAAAACACACACCTGTTTTGGGTTTACTGGTTTCAAGAAGCACTGTCTGATGTGAACCATGCCTTGCAGAAAAGAGCTCTCAGAAGACCTACGATCAAGAATTGTTGACTTGCATGAAGCTGGAAAGGGTTACAAAAGTATCTCCAAAAGCCTTGATGTTCATGTGTCCATGGTAAGACAGACTGTCTACAAATGGAGAAAGTTTAGCACTGTTGCTACTCTCCCTAGGCGGGGTCGTCCTGTAAAAATGACTGCAAGAGCACAGAGCAGAATGCTGCATGAGGTAATGAAGAATCCCAGAGTGTCAGCTAAAGACCTACAGAAATCTCTGACACATGCTAACATTTTTGTTGACACATCTACAATAAGGAGAACATTAAACAAGAATGGAGTACATGGGAGGACACCACGGAGGAAGCCATTGCTGTCCAAAAAGAATATTGCAGCACGTTTGAAGTTTGCAAAAGAGCACCTGGATGTTCCACAGCACTACTGGCAAAATATACTGTGGACAGATGAAACCAAGATTGAGTTGTTTGGGAAGAACACACAACACTATGTGTGGAGAAAAAAAGGTACAGCACACCAACATCAAAACCTCATCCCCACTGTGAAACATGGCGGAGGGAGCATCATGGTTTGGGGCTGCTTTGCTGCCTCAGGGCCTGGACGGATTGTTGTCATTGATGGGAAAATTTATTCCAGAGTTTATGAAGACATTTTGCAGGAAAACGTATGACCATCTGTCCGCCAACTGAAGCTCCGCAGAGGATGATGGGTGATGCAACAGGACAATGACCCAAAGCATACAAGTCATTCAACAAAACAATGGCTGCAACAGCACAGAATACGCCTTCTGGAGTGGCCCAGTCAGAGTCCTGACCTCAACCCCATTGAAATGCTGTGGCATGACCTTAAGAGAGCGATTCACACCAGACATCCCAAGAATATTGCTACACTGAAACAGTTTTGTGAAGAGGAGTGGTCCAAAATGACTCCAGATCGTTGTGCAGGTCTGATCTTCAACTACAGGAAACGTTTGGTTGAGGTTATTGCTGCCAAAGGAGGGTCAACTAGTTAAGTCCAAAGGTTCACATACTTTTTCCTCCCTGCACTGTGAATGTTTACATGTTATGTGCAATTAAACCATGGCAACATCTAATGTTTGTGTAGTATTATGTTCAGCAGACTGTGTTCTTCTATTGTTGTGACTTAGATAATGTTCAGAGCACATTTTATGCCCAATTCATGCAAAACTCCACGTAATCCCAAGAGTTCACATACTTTTTCTTGCAACTGTACTAGCCTTCTCCGGTTATTATTCCAACAATTTCTTCCCCTTCATATTTCTTACCAGAGCGTTAGTTGCTTTCAAACTCTTCTAGGTGTATCCCTTCTCTATGAACCTCTGTTCTAAAACATTTGCTTGTTCATAAAAATCTTCAATCAATGTACAATTCCTTCAAATTCTCATTAACTACCCTTTGGGTATGTTGTTTATCCATTGCAGATGATGGCAACTTGACGTGGGTATATGCCCATTACGTTGTGCTTGTTTAAAGATGTTTTACTGCAGAGCATGCCCACTTTCTTGAAGATTTCCAAATCAAGATAACTGGAACCATCATACAATCAATTCCTGGTGAAAAAGATATTATATCTATTCCTATTTATTTTGGTAAAGAATTGTACCAGTGATTCTTCACTGCCTTCCCATAGTATTATGATGTCATCTATGTATCTCTTGTCTTGTCTTTCACATTCAGTAAATTTCCCATTTCCTCCTCATTATCTAACTTATTCAGAATGACCAATCCACCTCCTTTATCTGCTGCCTTTCTACTTTCTATTTGCTTAATTGCTCTCCATATGTTCTTCTTGTTCCTAAGTTTCCGTAAAATAACCACTTTTATATCTTCTTCAACCATTTTCTTGAATACTTCCAAATATTCACCCCCACCCCCCACCCCCTCCATTTTAGGGTTGAATGTAGAGTGATTTTTAAGCTTAGCATGTGTGAATTCTGTTTCAAGTTCTACTTGCTGATTTTCTTTTTGCATATGATATTTTTTGAGGTTCAGTTTCCTAAAAAATTGAACGTCTCAGATTTGTCCAATTCCTTATCAGGGGTGAACTTCATACATAAATTCAATAACCCCAATTCTTCCTGTGAGAACATTTCTTGATGAAGATTTCTTTCCACTGGGGGTTCTCTGGGAGGTCCTCCGGCTCCCATATTCTGATGTCCCTTCCATCCTCCTTAGGTATATGTCTGTCTTTCCCTGTATAGGATAAAGTTTCCTGGTTGGTGAGTTCTTGGTGGGCCCTGCTATTCCATATTCCTGGGTGGACTGATCCATGTCCCTGAATATACTGAGGTCTGTGTCCCCTTTGTACTCTGGGAGGTCTTTTTTTGATAGACTCTATAGATTCTCCCTATTGTAACTCTTTTGTGAGACTCATAATATGTATCGTGATGTCTTAATGGGAAAATCTATTATGTGTGGGGATTGGTCTTCTAGGTGTAACCGGGGTCTATATTCTGTGGTTGTTTGACCCCCACTTCTTGAACTCTCCTCTCTTCTATGTCCAGATTCAAGTGTTCCTCTTTCCTGAGTCTCATATCCTTTTTGATTGTTTTCCCTCTTATGGGGACCATTCCTTCTATAACTTCCCATTCCGAATTATTTCCTTTTATCCCTATCCTCTGATGATTCTCTGGAAGCAAATATGACTGACAGCTCAATCGGCCAATCATTATTTTCCTCCACGTCTTCTTGCCATTTGTAATCTTGGTGATTTTTATAATCCATCATATATCTGCAGAACTTTTTCTTTTTTTTTTATTTCTAGTATTCTTTACACATTTTTTTTACAAACTCTTGTAATTGTTCCGATCTTTCTTTATATTCAGGATGTGCGATGTATGGTTGTAACTTTTTTTTTAATTCTGTTTTAATGCCTACTACATTTCTTAGTTTATTTTGTCTTCTCTTTATATTATTCTAATAATCACCTGTACACTTACAACATTAACCACTTCCAGTCCGGACACTTTTACCCCCTTCCTGCCCAGATCAATTTTCAGCTTTCAGCTCTGTCACACTTTGAATGACAATTGCGCGGTCATACAACACATATGAATTTTTTTAGCATTTGTTTTTAGACAAATAAAGCTTTATTTTGGTGGTATTTATTCACCACTGGGATTTTTATTTTTTTTTTGCTATGTAAAGTCCACAAATTTTGAAAAAAGTGTTTTTCTTATAAAATTTTGCAACCAAATAGTATTTCATCATAAATCTTGGCCAAAATTTATTCCGTTATCTTTTTAGTAAAAAAATAATAACCCAAATTAGTTTATAACCAAAATTATAATTTTTTAAACATTTTTTTTTTTTTTTTTTTTTTTTACATTTTTTATATATTATTATTTATGTTTTTTTTTTTTTACATACTGTTACCCTAGCAGTACAGTGTCACCATGGTGACACTGTACTACTTGTGGGAGGTGATGTAGATTTTTTTTTTTTTTACACTGATTGCTTTTACAGCCTTTATGGGTGTAAAAGCAATCATTCCTCCTTCTCTCTAGCTGCATTCTTGCAGCCACTGAGAAATACTGAGTGAGCTGTGATTGGTCACAGCTTGTCACATGGTACAAGGCTGTTGTGAATAGCCTTGCACCATGTGACCTCTGTGATCATTCACAGATTTCACACGTAGTAAACAGTGATGTCACTAGTGACATCTTGCTTACTACTCTGCATGTGATCACTGATTGGCCAATCAGTGATTACATGATCGGGACCTCGCACAGAGGTCCCGTCCGACGATCGGTGTTCCACTGTGTACGGAGGACACAGCGGGCACCGGATCGTGGGTGCTGCGCGCTCCTGGGGAGCGCACACAAGCAGGGTGCGGGGGGAGGCCGTTTATAAACGGCCACCTGACCCTGCACTGCCACCGTCCGACCGTTTATATATGCAATGGCCGGATGGGAGGTGGTTAATGGAGGAGTGGTATAAGTTCTTTAATTTGTCATTTAGGCCATCATTGGGGTGAACAACCCACCTCAATCTTCTTGGAGTGATCTCTGTGAGATACATCTCCAATGTGGCAATATCCCACCACACTCACTTTATTTCACACTTTGTTTACACATTCCCCATCTAAAAT